CAGCCGACTCTCTTTAGGCCCGCAAAGGGCGCGAACATATGCGATGTGCCAGTGTCAGGGCAACTCCCGTTTAGGAACTGCCTGGTTGTGAAACGGCTGCGGCGGACGACAGTAAAAGTCTGATTAACGGGCTTCTCTGCAAAACACATGGGCACTTTGAACATGACATAGGAGCTCGTCTAGATACGTCTAGGGTCAGGTGACGTTTCTGGTGCTGCATGCAGTAGGGTGAGAACCATAATCAGCATGTAGTATTTCCTTAAGTCTTTTATAAGCAAGAAAGCAAAACGGATCAGAAGAGTGAAACATCTTCCTTGGCGCGACTTTTTGCATGCAGCGAAGCACAGAGTTGGCCTCTAACCGTCATTAGCGTGCTCGAATTGGGGGGGCCGCAACTGCTGATGGAACAGGCCCTGAAGTAGGGGATACGATCCTGCTTAAGAGAGCCAGAAGAGAGTTAAGAAGGGTTCCGGATCGTTAAGGGACATGGCCTGGTTGAGCGTCGAGATTGAAATAGGCTGTGGCTACCAGTGCCACCGACATGGAATCCTAGCCTGTGCCCTGAACCCCTACTTTGGAGTTGGCCCCTGAAAGAAAAAGACTGTGCGTTTTAGGTAGAAGTAGCTATTGTTGGAACCCAGAATATACTCTTTAGGTATAAGTAGCTATAGTCGGAACCCAGAACCAAAAAAGTATTGGAGTAGAGTATGGTACTCCAAAACCGAGGAACCTCATGCCCTTAGGTTTTTGTCCTTAATAGGGATATACTAACAGTCCTTAGTAGGGATCATATAGTACCCCTATATTGTAATCCCTGTTAAGGACTAACAGTCCTTCATCGGGATTACAGTACCCCCCTATGGTTATCCCTGTTAAGGACTGCTAGTATAAGGGGGAACATCCCAAGTTTCGACAGTTCTTGGGGAGGCTGCGACGTTGGGGGGTTTAAGATCTCGCAAGCCATCTGCCGTTCAAGCCCTCTCACCTCAACCCTAAACCCTAAACCCTAAATCCTAAACCCTAACCCTAAATCCTAAACCCTAGACCCGACACATGGCAGCCAAACCCATCTTTGTGAACCGGTGATGCAAGCGAAGATGGTCAATACTAATTTGACTGGGCCTATAATCTACCAGGGGCCCAAGTTAAGACCCTCACCCATGTAGCTGCACAGCGGCTCCCTCTACGGAATGCACCATCTTGCAGGTAAATAAGCTGTGGGCGTCGTTGTGTGTAGACAACCAGGGAAGGATACTGCGCTGGTGTCTGTAGCAAAACCAGTCAGGCGCGCCACAGCACAAGTGATTCAGCGTTGGCCGTAGGCTTGTTTCTGCCCCTGCACCCAAACAACAAACTTTGCAAACATCTTGCAGTGGCAGGAGGTCCAGCTAGGAGACAGCGCGAACTATCATGTGTTGATCGGCTGTGTCCGTGAGGTGCGTTTTCGAATCCAAAGACCATCACTTAGACTGCATGAGAAGCTTTCGTGCTGGACCACCTTGCACCGTAGTATTAACAGAACTCTATCAATGATGTACAAACACTAATGTACACAATGTACACATCATACATATTTTGAAGATCTCTAAAAAGGGTTTCCCTGTTGACACAACGTCCAGCACGCATTCCCTAAAACCCCTTATTTCAACTCCGACTCTCCTAAACCCCAACAGCCTAAACCCACTTTAACAACACGTTATGCTGCACTTGCTCCAGGCCCGGTCTCACTTTGCCTGGCCTTCAGGGAATCCAGGGGGGCTGTCTGTTCAAGACATTCGGGTTCAGGCTTGCGGAAGAGTGAGCAATGTGGGCTGTGCGGATGGTGTGGCGTTTATAATTTCAGAAGTATTATGGATCGTGCGACTCTTTTGGAGATGTATTTGGTGGTTGAAATGGTCGAAGGTGGAGGATGGGGTGGGAGCAGGCGTTCATGGACATGGCTGTTTGTTGCCTAACCTCAACAAACTGGGTTTACTGTAACTCACCTTACTCAGGAAGTTCTACACTTCTACACGCTTCAATGCTCAACAGGTAGTCCTTTTCTTGCAGCGTCTGGGTCGGGGATAGTACATGTTTCAGTACGCGTGTGGTGTGAGATGTACATCACACTCCAAGCTGCTGATGTCAAAGACGCGCATGTTGTGCTTGAGAGACCAATGGCAGCTTTTGCAAGTCAGAATGCCCCCTTCACAAGCCGGCCCAAAAACCACCGAGCCTGAACACGCCCCACAAGCCCCCTTGCCAGTTTCAAAGGTCCCTCAGACGCTGGCCAAGTGCCACGTGCTGGCCCGGCCCTATAGGGACCAAGATATATTAAAACATGCTCTCTGCGTACCATAGATTTGGCTCGCACTGCAGTAGCCATAGACACCGTACGACTGCGGGCGCTTACCTATATGCTCCCACTCATGGAACCCATGAAGAAGTAGAGCACTTGCACAGTAGTGAGCCGGAACAGAAGGGTTTAGGGCTTTAAGGTTTAGGGAGCCCAGGGTTTGTACTGCTTGCGCGAATAACAGGGCCTATAAAGCATTGAAGGAGGACTCGAGCATGGCCAATGTGCCCTCCAAAAACAACCACCCTCGGGGCCTCCGGATAAGACAAGCGGCGACGGCATTCCTGCACGCAACTGTTGTTGTTTAATGTCGTTCGTGGGCTGTGGGCACAAGCGACATTAAGGGTTAGACGTATAAGAGACAAACCACAATTCCTTTCTCAAACCTCACGTTGTAGCTTCAGCCACATCCCATCCATGATCCAAGGCCTGGACCCTTTTGGGTTTAGGGTTTAAAGGGCTGCTAAACCTAGACCGAGTTCACTCCCAATACACTGCCCGACCGGGCTTCCTGGAAAGATTTTCGCCGCGGAAACCACTCTTGAGATGACCCTAAGCTAACCCTAAGGGTCCATGTACCTCATTATTATATACTTGGGCCCCAAAGTCCCTATACAGGAAGTACTTTAAGGCCTAAGTATTCAATATTTAGGTACATGGACCCTTAGGGTAAGCCCCAAAGTCCTGAAACCCAGGCGCCCCTAAAGACTAAACCCTCCGCTGTCCTTCTGCGTTGGCGGGCTGGCCACCAAATCTTCCAGCTCGGCCAGGTCGTCCGGAGATAACTCGCAGGCTGGGTTTGTAGGGTTTCAGGCTTTGCAGGGGTATAGGGTTTAGGGTATAGGTTTAGGGTTTAGGGTTTAGGGTTTAGGGACACAACATGGTTTCAGGAGGATTAGAGCTAGATTCCCTTTAGTGTACCTTGTGGGGTAGAGTTTACTGTACACTATACTCCCCTTAGAACCTTGATAAAAAGCATTTCTAATATCCTCTTGGGTTTTGTATAAACAGTTTTTTTAAAGGTACTTCCCAGGGGGATCTAGTACATGGCTTTACCTGAATTCGATAGGGTACGGAGCGGAAGAATTAGGAGCGTGCCCCGAATGTTGTGGTCTGGGTAATATCTAGGTACCGAATACCCCTCTTAGGAGAAAACCATGGGAAAACATGTATATACTTTTCAGGTAATAGGAACCCAGAACCAAAAAAAGTGTTAAAGTGTAGTACTCCAAAACCAAGAGTACTCTAAGTAGGCTCAGGCTTTTGAGCAGAAGGCTTTTTGCGACTGCGATGGTGCTTTGAGATGTCGATCTTTACTCTGAAAACTCCCAGGCACTTTAGAGTTCAGGGTTATGGCCTTACCATGGGACTCTATTGACCTACAGTTTAGTAGTAGCTACCCTGAATTAGTAGGTAGAACCCATAAACCTGCAGGTGAAGAGGGTCCCAGGTAGGGTTTACGGTTACAGGGGGGAAGATACCCCTAAACCCTAAACCCTAAACCCTAAACCCTAACCCTAAACCCTAAACCCTAAACCTAGAAGCCTTATGGGATGCCTCCGTAGGGGCAAAGATGGCCGAGGAGGAGGAGCTTGGTGTCGGTCCCGGGCGATCTGCACCAGACCTTCTCTCTTTCTATCTTTCTGTGGGTTTGTTTTTTTGTGTTCTTAATACCTTTAAGTTGTATCATGTTATTCTTGTTAAGGCATGAATTCATGAAGTCGAGAATAATGAGTAACTGGCATCAAACTGTCATACAAAACACTGTTGGGGTGGGGGATGCAGTGGTGCTCGCTGATGGTTTGAAGAATTGGGGGCTATCATCAGAGTCTCCGCAAAAGTGCTTGCCGCGCCACCCACCTACAAGGGGGGCCCTCCTTAAATTATATTCTTTGCCGCTGCTCCTCCTACCAGCTTCAGGGTTTAGGGTTTAGGGTTTAGGGTTTAGGGTTTAGGGAGCTTCAGTCCCAGCAGCTTCGAAGTCGTCGGCGGCAGCACTTGGCGTCCCAGTGGGGTGGGCAAACCCGCCGAGCTGGCCTGTCAAGTTGATGGGGGGAAGGGATGAGGATCAGGCTATGTGGGCTGAGAGTACCTACCAAAAGAAAGCCAGGGTCGGGTCTTCAAGGGGCTTGAGATTCCAAGCACTTCTTTGCAAAGTCGACAATCGTCTCTGGGTGAGGCTTTAGTGAACCCAAAGCCTGAGAAGGAGCACTCTCATGTGCGACTCACCTGCTGCACCTTGCGTGGCTTTTGGGCATCACACCGGTCTTGAGAACGATCTGAGGGAAATCAGGCAGGGAGAGATGAAAGGGAGAGAGAGGGGGCGCCCGAGCCAGGGAGAGGAGAGGAGAGGAGAGCAGGAACGGAGGGACAGAGAGAGCAGAGTGGACCTGTCGCGAGTGCAGAGCCTTCGTTTGTCCCGGGCATCACACGAATGGACGCACTGACAGACTTTTTAGGCTTCACGGCGATCGGGTCACGAGGAGCCAAGAATATCGACACAGGCCATGAACCCTGGCAATGTTCAGAAGGTCAGCATAATTCGGTTGCACTACAACTCGGACACGGCAAACGAAGCAAAGGCATCAGACAAGCCAGGAACTGCGGCCCTAAACCCTGAACCCTAAACCCCGAACCCTAAACCCTAAACCCTAAACCCTAAACCCTAACCCAGGCCAGCTCTCGGGGAAGTGGCCTGCCTCTCGTAGTAGCCATTGAAGTCCAAGCGAGAGCAAAGGAAGCTAAAGTCCAATACCCTCACCTCGGGCCGCTCGGGCCCTTCTTCCAGCGACTGGAGGAGCTCCTACAAGGAGGGGGTGATAAGGACCCTAAATTGGGTTCGAAGGATCCTAGCTCCTTAAGTACGGGGGCCCCTCCTTGTAGGTTCCAGAACAGCCTAAATATGGGGAAGGAAAAACCAGCTAGAACGAACTCGGTCTTCTGCCTACGTGCACATGTGGTCCATAGACAGGAACCCCTGGCCTAACCCTACAAAAAGCAACACCAAAGATGAACAAGTGCCACTCAGCTAAGCCCTAAACCCTAAACCCTAAACCCTACAAACTATAAACTATAAACTATAAACTATACCCTAAACCCTAAACCCTAAACCCCCCCGACTCCTGGAGCTTCATGCTGAAGGCGGAGGCCACGCCATCGAGCTGCGCTCTGCACTCCGCCAGGGACCGAGCGAAGGGCTGGCTGCGAAGGGCCTGAAACCTAAGCAGCCGAGTCGGGGTGTGGGGGCTGGGGGTTTAGGGTTTAGGGTTTAGGGTTAGCGCAATAAGGGTATCCTCTCTTTCTGCTGGTCAGTTGAATACTCCCCCCCAATAAAAAGACCGAAACCCAAAAGGAGCCCAAGGGTTGTCTCACAGGAAACACGCTGGCGACATCGTCCACTTCCATCATGGCCTCTGCTGCTTCGAAGCATGCGGCACAAGCTTGATCTTGCAGCTGGCAAAACTCCTTCGTAGCCCAGTAGCCATATAATGGTAAGGGCACCCTGTTTTTTGGTTGGTTAACTTGATAAGGGAACCAGAAACAGAAAAAAAAAAAAAAAGGGAAAGGGGTACCACTGGGGCTACCAAGACTCCAGGGCCAAGGAGAGCAAGGCCGTAATGCTGGACAGGACTGCTTCGCAGCCCTTCGCCAGGAAGGCGCCCTCCTCGATATTGACCAAGTAGCGCTCGTGCTGTGAGATCACCTCGTCCAGGTCGCTGCAAGTGCGCCAGCCAGCGTGCAACTTGGCCCAGGAAGTGTCAAGGACTTCGAACATCACGTAGGACCTGGGTAGCCCAGTAACCCTATAATGAGGGCAGCCTTTTTTGGGTTGGTTGCTTTGTCTATAAGGGAACCGTTTTTACCAAGAAAAGGGTAAAGGGCACCACTGGGCTACCAAGGGACTGAATGTTTTGCACGAAATGGTGCAGCTCGTGGCGGAGGCAGGCGAAGCGGTGCAGCGTCGGGCCCAGCTCCGGCAGGGGCACGCACACGGTCTGCGCTGCCAGGGACGAGAGGTGCCTTTGGAGCGTCATGTGCCTTACTTCTCCTATAACCTTTGGGAAAAAAGGTTAAACTTCAATATTCCTACTAAATAAGGAAACCCAAAAAGCTTAAAGTTCAACTAAAGGCGAAGTAAGGTGCTGGTTCCAACTTGTCGCCAGGGCGTGCGACACGCGCCTGAGCTTCCAAAGGAAAGCAAAGGCACGGTCGTATTTCTGCATGGCCGCTGGCGTGAACACCACATGGAGAGGTGTATCGATGCTGTAGTCTAACAGGAAGATGTCCCAGCCGCATTCGCCGTCCGAAGGGCTGAGCAGCTTCACCCCAAGGCGTGCCAGCCTGGGATGGCCCCTCAAACCCTCTTTTTAAAAAAATCCTGAACATGATCCTCTTAAACCCAACTTAGGGGAAAAATCAAACATGTTTCAAGGGGCGACCTAGCAGCACATCTGATGAGCAGAATTGCGCGTTGGACTGTCGCAGTGCCATGTCCAGAAGTCCCATCAGCTGGTGGCGCTGGATCGTGCCGGCCTCGGCGTTCAGCTCCTGCTGCATTGCATCCATGAGGCATTCGACGAAATCGCCTTGTCCCAAAAGCAGGAAACGCCTCAGGGCCATGGCATGCTCACCCAATGCATACCTCTCCATGAGCAGCTTGACGAGATGCTCGTTCGTCTGCTGCGCAGCATGCTCCACGCGCCCTGCGAGGCCTCGCAGGAGGGTGCCGCCTGTTTGAAGCAGCTCCTTGCGCTCCTTGCCCTCGTGCCCAGGCAGCTCCCCGAGCTCCTGCATGTCCGAGTCGAGCTCGGGCGTGTCGAGGAGCGCGGCGCCCAGGCGTGACCAGCCCTGGCCTGGGCAACAGAGGCGAATGAAGTTCACGGACTTCCCCGTGAGAAGGATCTTCCGGGCCAACTCCAGGGTCAGGAAGCTGGGGACCATCTCAAGCTCCAGGCGGTACCTTATAGTAGCGAACTGCACATGAACCCTAGGGAATCTGGGATCATTCTTGTTACTATTGAGCATAGAAATAGTATGACTATTCTTCTTCTTGCTATTCCTTGCAGAGTATAGGAGTGTTTAGAATCCCTACTCAAGCATGGGGCGGCTCACGAGCAAGGGCATTATAGCGCCTTTATGGAGCCCGCCAAAGCACATGTGTGTCCAGAGGTCTTGGATGGGCACAGAGGTAGCCACGACAAAGAACTCACCAAAGGGGTCCTGCAGCTCACCTTCGCTCATCCAGGCGCGAATCATGGCCAGCAGAGGCCGCACCACCGAGCTCAGGATTCTCGTGGCCTTCTGCTGCACCTGGGCATCGCCCGACTGCGCGAATGCTAAGACCATGGAGGCCACGGCACCACCAAAGACACCGCGGCTGGCCTCCGAGAGGCTTGCAAGGAAGCCTGAGTTGCTGCGTTCATAGGCCCCCCCCCAAAAAAAAAGTGTACACCTTCAGTTCTAGTCATAGGGGACGAGAGTATCCCATAAGAAGTGTGTAAATTGTACTCATTCAGCTAACCCTAAACCCTGAACCTTAAACCCTAAACCCTAAACGATGTAAAGTGTACTCATTCAGCTACTAAGAAGCTTAGGCGTGCCAAAGGAGCGAGGAGCCAAGCCCACAGTCCGCGGAGGCTCAGCTTCTTGGACATCAACAGGGCGAGCATTTCCTTGGGGACGACATGAACCCCATAATTAATATAATCCTGGGGTCATATACCCTATAATTAATATAATTCTGGGGTCATATACCCTATACGATGTTCCCTAGTAAGGTTTGTGGGCCATACACACCCCCTTCAAGGGCTCACGTGGTCCCCAACCAAGGTTCATAGTAGTCCTGGAGTTGCTCCCGCAGTGCTTCGCAGAGCGCCTGCTGCAAGAGGCCCTCGGTTGATTCCTTGGAGTCCTCCTTGGTGCCCGCCAGGCGCACGTGCAAGGTCGCCAGCTCCAACACTCTCTGGGAGACAACCCAGGCTGGCCTGGTCAGGATCACTGCCGGGTCCACCTCAAAGGAGGCATTGAGCTTGAAGCAGTCACTGCTCACGCCTTGCAAGGCAAAGAGTAGATCTCTCACCAACTTCGCCTCCAGCAGCACGGTTGGGGCACCTCCTCCGAGTTGCCAACCCACTTCAACCGTGCGTTCCGAGCTATGCTCCTTCGAAACACCCGCGTTCTGCAGGCGCGGGCGATGTGTGAAGGACAGCGGCGCTCGTGCGTCGCCTGCGAAGGCATCTCCTCGCAGCAGGAAGAGCAGCGCCAAGACGGATCTGTCACAGCGCTTGCTCAGGCGGTTTTTCAAGCCTTGAAAGCGCAAGTGCCTGTCCAGGCCACGGTCGTTCTTTCGGAGCCCCTGTAGGTGCTGCGCAATGAGGTCTTCCACAGCAGCCTCTTCAGCAGCACCTACCCCACTAGCAGGTGCAGAGCTCAGCTGCTGGAAGATTTGGAGGAAAAGCGCCTGTCCCGGCTGGTCGCGGTCCCCATCAGCTGAGCCCAGCTCAGAGCGCACCAGGCTCCGTACCAAGGCCTGCATGGGTGTGCACTATGCCCTTGTCACCTTCATAGTGCCAAGGCAGGCCATGGCGACGACTATCGGCGCAAGACCACGCGAAACAAAGCTCTGTGGCGAAAGGCCGAAGAGCCTCTTGCAGACTTGCAGCTTGGGGGTGTTTAGATCCAGACTTTAGAAGATGACCTCTGATCGGCTCTTTCGCGTAGGGGAGTGGGGAGAGGGGGAGAGGGATCATGATTTCCTTCATGTGCCTGTGGCTTTGGCTGCGGCGAGAGAGGCGCAATGATGAAGCCAAGAAGACCGGGATCTTACTGGTAGAGAAACGACTCTCAACCGGCCGAGAAGCTTTCGCAGAAGTCCTACCTGGGACTCTACGTCACTCTACGTACCTACAGTTTCGTAGTAACTACCCTTCACTAGAAGGGATAGCCCCAAAAAACTCATTTAAACAAATTGTAGGTAAAGAGGGTCCCAGGCATGCTCTATGCCCTACCAAACCCAGGCTCTTCGCCAAAGATGCCGATGCCTCAGCAGCGGGCGTGGGCGTTTGACAGCGTTGGTCGAAGAACCTTGCCAAAAGATGCCCGCGTGCACACAACACAACACACACACACACAACACACACACACACACACACAACACACACACACACACAACACACACACACACAACACACAACACACAACACACAACACACAACACACAACACACAACACACAACACACAACACACAACACACAACACACAACACACACCACACACCACACACCACACAACACACACCACACACCACACAACACACAACACACAACACACAACACACAACACACAACACACACCACACAGCACACAGCACACAGCACACAGCACACAGCACACAGCACACAGCACACAACACACAACACACAACACACAACACACAACACACAACACACAACACACAACACACAACACACAACACACAACACACAACACACAACACACAACACACAACACACAACACACAACACACAACACACAACACACAACACCCAACACACAACACACAACACACAACACACAACACACAACACACAACACACAACACACAACACACAACACACAACACACAACACACAACACACAACACACAACACACAACACACAACACACAACACACAACACACAACACACAACACACACACACACACACACAACACACAACACACAACACACAACACACACAACACACACACACACACACACAGACAGAGACAGACGCAGAGGCAAACGCAGCATCTACGCTTTCGTGTCCTAAGTTGTGTTCGGAGCAATTGCTCACTAGCGATAAGAGCTCTGCTGATGTCCTGTCAAAGATGTCAGAGTCATATTCCGATTCTTGGGATGCCCGAAGGCACCCCAGGAATCCTAGACTGAAGCCTTTAGCCCCCCCCGCCCCATGCCAAAATCCTGCCAAGCTAAACCACAAACCCTAACCTTAAACTCAACCCGAAATCCTCCAAACACCCCGAAACCCCCCCCAAAAGCCCTAAACCCTAAACCCTAAACCCTAAACCCTAAACCCCGAGGCACAGGATCTTCGCAGCCACCAGGCCCCGGGGAGGCGCCTCCATCTCCTTGTCCCACCCCGCAGGACCCGGAACTTAGGGTTTAGGGTTTAGGCTTTAAATAAACTCCTATAGAGACTCCAGTTTGTATAAGGTTTGTATCAGTTTTATTTCGTCAGTTCTCTAAATATGGTCTTTTTGTGAGTACCCTAAATACTAGGAACGTCTTGATAATCAGGATCCCACAGAAACTACTTTTTCTAGGGAAGCGACCACACAAGGTTCATCTTGCAACCCGTCTAGGAGACGGAGGTTTCCCCAACCCCCGTATGGACCGAGTACACCTCGCCTCCTGGCCATATCCCGAAATGGATTATGTGCCTAGCTGAACGAAGCCTCGCCTCACATAAGGCGTGGGTTCAGGGCTTGTGCTAGTACTTCGTATGGTTTGGGAGGTCGATGGGAATCTGGGACAGGTGCTGTTTCCATGTACAAGCACGCAGCTTTGAGAAACACAGCCGTTTGCAGTTCGGTCTTTAATTCTCGATTTTCTTCAGCCGCGAAGAAATGTTGACGATGTGGGGGTTCGAGTACCCGCTGCGGCTCTCTATATGGAGCCACCACCGAAACCTACAACCACCAAACCAGTGCACCCAGACTCGCAACACCCTGCATAGGCTGTCAACTTCCTAAACTCTGAAATCCCCTAAATCCTCAACCCTAAACCCTAAACCCGAAACCATCCCTAAACCCTAAACCCTAAACGCATAACGCATACTGCAGCTTTCACCAGGGCATGCGAGCAGCTCCCGCGCATGAGGCGCGCAATTGAGCCACTCTTCGCAGGCTCTCTTCTTCTTCTTCTTCTTCTTCTTCTTCTTCTTCTTCTTCTTCTTCTTCTTCGGGGCTTGAGGGGAGTCGCCCCCCCCCCCCCACCCTGCGCGCTAGGCACGCCCAGTCTGCAGCGAGTCTCTCTCTCTCTCCCCCTTTTTCTTAGGGTTAGGGTTTAGGGTTTATTGGGTTTATTGGGTTTATTGGGTTTCTTGGGTTTCTTGGGTTTCTTGGGTTTCTTGGGTTTCTTGGGTTCCTGAGGTGCCACCCAGGCAGCTGGCGATTCTTTGGCATGCTCCGCTGGCCGCTCTTTGGGTCCCATTGGAGACATCCTCAAGTGATCTTGTGGCTTCAGCTCAAGGGGATGCTGTCTGTCTAGGGTTTAGGGTTTAGGGTTTAGGGCTTAGGGCTTAGGGCTTAGGGTATAGGGTTTAGGGTTTAGGGTTTAGGGTTTAGGGTTTAGGGTTTAGGGGTTAGGGGTTAGGGGTTAGGGGTTAGGGGTTAGGGGTTAGGGGTTAGGGGCTTAGGGTTTGGGGTTGAGGGCTTTAGGGCCTCTATACCCTACAGGACTTCAAGGGTTTAGGTTTAGGGTTTTAGGGTTCAGGACTTAGGGCGAGGGTTTGGAAAAGGATACATTTGGACGCCCCAAACTTCCCCACCTCGAGCACCAAAGAAAAATGTGTGTAAATAAATAAATATATATATATATATATGCATATACATATGTGTGTGTCTATATATGTATATATATATATGTAGATAGATAGATAGATAGATATATATATATATATATTTTTTGTTTTTTAACTTCGAACATTCCCACCCTACAGACTTGGAATTTTTGGGCTTGGGCACTCCAAGGAGACTCAGGGGTTGGGCACTCCAGGGACACTCTGGCGCTGCTGTGGGGTTGGAGACGAGTTGATGGGCGAGGAGCAGACCGGGCGAGGAGAAGAGTTTAGTTTAACATCTCACAACCCCACACCGAGGGCCGAGGTTGGGAGACAAAACAAAGCTATCCTGAAGATCACGCAGGTTTTTCCCGTTCTGCCGGAATACATTTGTCGTGCCCACCCATGGAAGTACATGTGCCTGTATGAGTACGTATGCGTGCGCATGTATGAATGCTTGAAAAAACTGTCAGACATGCATTTGTTCTGAATGATCCTTTATGCACTTGTTCACTTGGGATCATAACAAGACGACGGGGAGTCCGCAACCACATGCTATTCCTCCTTCTCCGTCATCCTACCCTTGGGCACCAAGCCTGTCACTATACCCTAGCCCTTGTTTGTCCACTGGCTTTTCAACTGAACCCTGTGAACCCTAAACCCTGTGAACCCTAAACCCTAAACCCTTTTGAACCCAGACTGGACTGACTCGCTGGGCCTAAACCCTAAACCCTGAACCCTAAACCCTAACCCCTAAACCCCCCCAAAAAATCCGCTGAAGGCTCAGTATGGCGTGGCGCTGCGTGGCCGCCGGCGGCGGGCTTTGCGGCTCCGTGGTCTCCCCGGGCATCAGGAGCCCCTGGGATGGCGGTAGCCTGGGCTGTTTTGGCGCTCCCGCATCAGGGTTTAGGGTTTAGGGGTTTAGGGTTTAGGGGTTCTAGGGTTAGGGATGTATTGAATTTGGGTGGTTTGGGTGCGGATGGTTGAATGGTGTGGTTTGTTTGCGTTTGGATGTGGGCCTGCGTGCCTGTGCATGGCTTCAGAGACTCCGCGCATAACAAGAAGAAACGGCCGAGAACAAGGAGCCAGCAAATCATGAAGAAATCACACCCAGTCCGACCCTAAACCCTCGACCCGCCCAAGCCCAAAACCCTACATGCTACCGTAGTCCGAATGTAGGTACCCCGAACTCAACCCGAAACCCTAAACCCTTTTTTATGGCTAGGACTGCTGCACTGCCTAAACCCTAAACCCTAAACCCTATAAACCCTATAAACCCTATAAACCCTATAAACCCTATAAACCCTATAAACCCTATAAACCCTATAAACCCTAAACCCTAAACCCTAAACCCTCAAGGAGCAGAGGCCTGACCATGGATTGTGTTGGCGCGGAGGCTTCCGCGGGCTTGGGGAGAAGATTCACCTCCACAGGATCTTTTTATGGGTTTTTAATCGGGTTGTCGTTTACAGGGGGCCTTATGGGGTTCGAATAAGGCTTTTGAAAGAGTTCTTGAAGGGTTTTCATAGTGTTAAAGGAAGGGGGTTTATAGGTTCTGTTTGTTCAATCGTTTTTGGTTTTTCTTTTTCATCGGGTTTTTACAGGGTTGCAAAACGTTTTATAGGGATTGTTACAGGTTTTTTGTAGGGCTTTATAGGGTTTGGGGGTTTGTATGGGTTTCATTAGGGTTTGTGTAAGGTTTTTAGAAGGTTTTTAGAGGGTGTTAGGGCTCTTATAGTGTTTTTTTGGGTCTTTTAATAGGTTTTTGTTTAAAGGGTTTTCTTTCATGGGGCTTTTGTCGGTTTTTGTTTTTTTAGGGCGTTGTTTCATAGGGTTTTTTCCAGAGACTTTTTATAAGGGTTTCCATAGGGTTTTTGGGTTTGTAGGCCTTGTAGGCTTTATGGGGCTTACAGGGCTCTAGGGCGTGAGTGTTAGGGTGACAGGCGGTCATCAGGTCCCTCCACATGTCTCGTAAGCGCGAAAGCCATCGCCTCTTGCGCTGCAGCGAGGATCACTTCCGCCATCTCCTCCTGATATCGTGCCTCGCGCAACGCGGAGAGCTGCTGCTTCCTGAGTCATGCAGGGTTTCAGGACCTGTGGTCCTACTTAGTTCTGCAGGCTTTGCATCAAACCCTGCAAAAGATAAACCTTGCTTCCTTCTGACTGCATGTCTTCAACCTTATAAGCCTGACGCTCACATTTAGGATTTAGGGCTTCGGGTTTAGGATGCACCCCTGTCTAGGCCCAGGCCCAAACTTTTGGCCCTGTTGGGCGAGAGCAGGCTTGGTTCTCTGGACGAACCGAGCGGCAGGTCCGCAATGACCTCTTCCTCGGCTAAAGGCTTATAGGTTGGGATAAGTGGGGTTATTTTAGGGGGTACTTTAATCCCTAGCAACCTTGAACCCCACACCCTTAACCTAAACCGTATACCTAAACATTCAACCCCAAAGGCCAACCCCCCATTCACAGCACAGGCAGGGGGGGCTAATCCGTAAACCCTAGACTTATGTAAACCCTTTTGCTGCAGGCTTGCGTGAATCCTCGCCTGGATGTGTCGCGCTTGTTCTCCGAACAAAGCCAGACACAGAATGAACCTACTGATTGACAAGTGTTCTCGAGCTGACCGTGCCGCCATGTTCGCGAATCTCTTCACGAAGTATCACGCACAGACGAATGAGCCATGAGCGTCGTTCACCGCGAGGGGCCTCCCTGTGCTCTCGTTGGAGATCGGACAAAATGGCTTGCAACCCCTTTACCACCTCCGCATCGCTCTTCGCCTGTGCAACAAAATGTCGCACGAAGCCTTCTGGATCATCCCGCAAGGAAGGAAAGGTGTTCGGTTCGCAAGAATCGCCAGATCTGAGGTCATGGTTGTCTCGTTTGTGTTGGTTGGGCCCCCCTGTGTCCATAGCATCAGTATCCTGAACTATAGCAGTCTCGCGCAAGTGCTTCAGCATGGCAGGCTTTCGTATGTTGGGATCACCTGCTGAAGGGTCACGCCTCTCCCCTTGAGCTTGTTCGGGTTCCCCATCATGTGGGAAAAGAAGCTCAGCAAGATTGAGTGTTGTGGCAAGAGGAGCATCTGGAGTGCCAGAAGTGCGGAGTGGCTCATAGCTGAAGTCCTGCAACTGTTCCCGCAACTGTTGTCGGCAGTCATCCCTGGCCTGACGGAGCATGTTCATGGCCGCCTTGAGGTGGTTCTCCACATCAGATGGTACTTTGAGGATCGCTGCCTTTCGTATGGCATAACCAATGCATGAACATAGCTTACTGTGGCCCGTGTCTGACACCATGGCAAACACTGGAGTGCGAAGCACTAAAGAACTACTGAATCTGAATTGTTGCAATCACCCGCTTTGGGTCTCGTAGCCGACACTTGAGCCGAACCTTAAACTTTAAACCTTAAACCCTAAACCCTACCACACACCACAGGGGCGAGGGGGGGGGGGGGGGGGGGGCAGGGGTAGCACGGGCGGCCGGTCTCTTAGAAACCGTCAACCCCAAATCCTAACCCCAACCCCCAATCACACCTCGAGCCTAAGCCTTAGACCCTAAACCCTAAACCTTAAACACTAAACCCAAACCACACCCGCACCACAGGGCAGGGCGAGGGGGTAGGGAGGGGGGGGATAGGATGGGGGGTGGGGGGGGGGGGGGGGGGGGGGGGGGTGGGTTGGCAGCCCGAGACCACACACACAGATATATATATATATATATAATATGGACTCTTGCCGAGGCATCTTGGAATCCTGCATGTCGGAAACCGGCCGTTTCAATTGAAACGGCCGAAATCCAAGATCCAAGATTACCACATGTATATATAATATACATATATATATATATAGGGCTCTAGGGCGCTCAAAACTCCCCAAATTCCTGGCTGCCACAATGAATGATGGGGATATGCGGTCTGGCGCCGCACCTACAACTGATGCGCGGAAGAACGCACGCGCACGACGCAAAAAGCCCATGCACTTTTATCGGGCGGCGGGATCCCAAACAGCACGTCTAAGCACCTACCATGCATGGGTTCAGGCTGATTCGGGCAAGCTCCACGCAAAGCCACTTATTAAACTAACCCCTGGACCTCTCAAGCTAGCAACTTCGCAATCTTAACACCCTCGAACCAGAAACCGCCCTACAAGGCCCTACGATGATCACCCTTACGCAAGCCTTCAGACCCAGGAGTAACCTGTTTGGTGTAAATTAGAAGGAACCTAGACTCTAACAAAGGGAATAAGGACCTCCTCTGGGATTACCCTAAGCCCCAAAATTAAACCCTAAACCTTAAACCTTAAACCCTAAACCCTAAACCTTAAACCCTATAAACCTGAACCTCAATCCCCACTGCACCCAGGTCTCTTGTTGCCGTTCCTTGCGTTGAGCCCGCACCATGCTGGCCTCCGGGGACTCCGACTACCAAGGGTTTGCCTACTACATGTGTGTGGTATAGGTATAGGTATAGGTATAGGTATAGGTATAGGTATCAGTATAGGTATCAGTATAGGTATCAGTATAAGGCAACCGAGGGTTCTTGCCACCTGCTCAACAGCCTTGTACCACTCTCAGGATTCCCCTAGACCTTATACCCCAAAAACACTCCGTGAATTCAGGGGTATGGGTTTAGGGCTGAACTGGATGTCGTTGTGCCCTCCCTTGCTGCATGTTATGGCGGGGAAGCAGGGTTCCACTTTGAAGCTCTCGCTTCAGGCTCATCGGGCGCTAGGCTTGTAAGAGGTCTCAACGGCTTCGGCTGTGCTCCGTCACTGAGCCCTGTTGCATTCTTAGAAGCTCTGTTTGAGCCTCAAGTCTTGGGACATTTGCTCTTTCGGTACACACAATGCATATCTATATATATATACATGTCTATGTATCTATATCTATATATATATATATAGAGAGAGAGTGTTTGTGTATAACCCTACATATGACATGTGCTTTAGGGGCTTTGGGGATTGAAAGCAACGTCCATGGCATGATCATGCCGCTCCTCCTCTCTCTCCTCCAGACGCTCGAGTTGCGCGTGGAGCCTCGTTCAGGTTTGGGGTTTGTGGTTTGTGGTTTGGGGTTTGGGGTTTAGGGTTTGGGGTTTTGGGGTTAGGGGACAGTTTAAGAAGATTCGTACAGCAAGTAGGTTGTTTCTAGCTCTGTTTTGCAGTTGCCAGAATCCCAGAACTGGGCTTACTTGGGCTTCTTAAGGGCTACGGCAAACCCGGCCAGTTGTCTCCATGTTGAGCGCCCCCAAAAGCCTTCTTGCTCCGAATCTCCACAACACCCTAAAGTATAAAGAGCATGCCTAAGCTCCATAGAGACCCTAATCCCTATCTCTGTCCCTAAACCCTATCTCTCTCCCTAAACCCTAAACCCTAAACCCCAAACCCTAAACCCTGAACTCTGAATCCTAAACCCTCTTGCAACCGGCGTCCAGCCGCCCCACCTCCCAGCCCCGCCTTCTCCGCCAGCCTTCTGTCTTTAACTCCATAACTTGAAACCTTAACTCTTAACCCTCAACCTGTACGCTTTGTGGTTTTGGCTTTAGGGTTTAGGGTTGGGATGTTCCCCCCTAAGCGTTGCACCTAAACCCTATAAACTTTACAGACCCTTAACCCCAAAACCCTATAAACCTTACAGAACTTTAAATCTTACAGCCCCTGAACCCCTACAAGCCTTACAGACCCTAAGCCCCGAACCCTATACACCTTACAGACCCCAAACCCCAAGCCCTACAAACAACCCGAAAAACCTTACAGACCCTAAACCCTAAACCCTAGCCCTACACCCTAAACCCTAAACCCTAAACCCTAAACACTAAACCCGAAACGTGAAAGCAGCCCCGGGCCTTCGGATCTCCTGCCGATGCTCCTGGCACTTCTGCTTCTCCTGGCTAAGCTCGGCCTGCCGACGTCTAAAGTACTGTAGGGTTTAGGGTTTAGGGTTTAGGGTTTAGGGTTTAGGGTTTAGGGTGTAGGGCTTAGGGCTTAGGGGTTTAGGGTTTATAGGGGCTGAGGCTTCAGGCTCAAGGTTGAGGGCTGAGGTTTTCAGAACGTATATACGGTTTGAAGTATGTGTGTGCACCCAAAAACTCCTATATATATATATATACATACCCATATATATATATATATATACATCTTATATACTCTCTCTCTCTCTCTCTCTCGCTCTCTCGCTCGCTCTCTCTCTCTCTCTCTCTCTCTCTCTCTCTCTCTCTCTCTGCCCGTGGAAAGCCCGAGAGAAGCATCTTAAGGGGTAATTTCGGTTGACCCAGGTCCGAAGTGCCAAATCGTCCCTGGGTCTCTTAACCAATGCTGTTCAACTTGGTAGCCCAGTAACCATATAGTCTGAGCACCCTCCTTTGGGGTTGGCTACTTTATGAGTTAGTTAACCCTGAACCAAAAAGGGAGAAAAGGGTACCTCTGGGCTATCATGAAAACCCCTATAGACCCCTAAAACCCCTTAACAACCCCCTAAAAAAACCAAAATTCCCCCTTAAGTCAACGACCTTGCCGGCTTCAGGATCTCGTGTCTTTGTCATCGTAATTCATTTCTCCTAATGTATCACCATTTCTAATATAATATAGTGAATATTGAGTATCCAATACTTCTTCTACTTCTTTTGATTCGCTACTATTTTGAAACATAAAACGCCCCCAACTAATAAAATCACTTTCACCAACAATATTATTAATACTGTTAAATGCTTGATTAGTTGTAACTGCTCTATTGTAACATTTTACATTTAAGGGTACTTAAGCTCAATAAGGAACAGAAATCTACATCATTTATTACTATGCCAGCCATGAATTAGCTGAAACCCTTCAACCCTTACACCCTTAGATTCTTAATTAGACCCTTAAACCCCACCACCCCTCCCCCCCCCCCCCCCCCCTAAACCCTAACCCCTAAACCCTAAACCCTAAACCCTAAACCCTAAACCCTAAACCCTAAACCCTAAACCCTAAACCCTAAACCCTAAACCCTAAACCCCCCCACCCCCCTCAAACCATGAAGTTGGTGCGTTGCCTCGGCCGTCAGCCTCGCTTCTGCCTTGGCCGCCAAGGCTTCAGCCCGGCTGTCCTGTAGCCTCGAAAGGGTTTAGGGTTTAGGGTTTAGGGTTTAGGGTTTAGGGTTTAGGGTTTAGGGCCGGGAGTAACCTAGGAATAAAAAGGGTGCCCTTTTGGTTTTGAGGGGATTATAAGGGAACCCCAACCCTGAAAAAATGAAAAAAAGGGCCTACTCCCGGACCTAGTTTAGGGTTTGTGGTAGCTTTGACTTGGGGCAGGTTTGGGGGGTCAGATTCAACTTTGCTCAGGCTTCGCATGGTCAACGTACTTTGGTGATCCATGGATGCTGCCGTTGCGAAAAGGCAGTTGCACTACCTTGTTTTTGAGGAGAGGCTGTACAGTAGTGCGAATGCTCTTCACTATTGACACAAAAAACTTGCAGCCTAACACTCCTGAGTTTCTCATCAGAGACATAAAAACAAATTAACACCCTAAACCTACACCAAGCAGAACCTTCCCCTTAGCCACACTCCCTTATGGATGCCAGCGCCGTAGTCTCCCAAACCCCGAAGTCCTTGCCGGAACCTGCCAGTGTTCTCAACATTCCTCACCTTCCTATGGGGGAACGAAAGGTTCAGCAACCCTTGAGGTCCAACAAAGCATTTTACGGCTTCGGGTTTGGGGTGTGTCGGGCTTCCAAAGTGGTGGTTTCCAAAATTCGTATGATAAGGGAATCCTACGTGAACAACGGCCAGGCAGCTGGGTCTCAACCTTTTGCAGCCGTCGCAACTCCGTCTTAGCCACCGAGAGCTCCTCCCAACAAGGGAGACACAACGTCCACAGTTTTTTAGCTCAAGGGTTTAGGGGCTTTTTTTGCCACCCGTTTAGCTGACCGGGTATTTAGGGTTTATAGGGTCCCAGGTGCCCAGCCGAATCCGGGGCTAACAGTGGCATGGATCGTGGTGAGTACTACGAATAGTGACCGGTGAGTGTGCACATAGAGCCTGGTAGAGTTTGTGCAAAACGCCCTAACATCCCCGAATGACCTACATCCCACCGAAATGGTACTTGGCTGGTCCCTTTCAAATCTGTGAAACAAGATTCCTAAGCAAGCTAAACCCTATGAACCCCTATACTACAAGCCTTGGACCGTGAGTTGGGCCTCACTGAGCCGCGCCACAGTCGTCTGCAGGGGCGTAACGCTTTCGGCCGACTGGCGGTACTTCTCCATCTTCTCCTTGCGGGGGAGGATCAAGGAGATGGCGGGGGGGGGGGGGGCATGGAAGTATAGGGTTTAATTAGGGGTCGCGCATGTCTTCAGGCCTTCAGGGTGTGCCTTGCAGATGACGGCTCCGACAAGAGAAGCGAAATTCCACGCACGCTTTCAATGTCACAACAGATCTACGCAAGGCTGCACGTCTTCGACCAAGCAAGATTTATCCACTTAGCTGACAGGGCTGTTCAGACACTCTTCGTAGGGTTCCGGTCGCCAGGTCGCTTGTTGAAAGCGGGATTTGGCTCCTTCCGCCCGTTGCCTGAACTCATGACCCCGCGGTTCTCCAAGAAATCGCCGCACTAGCCATTCAAAAGCATTTGCATCTGGGCATGCGCATGCCGAACCCTACAAGTATAGGGGCTCCCTTACTATACTAACTTCAGTTAGGGGACTTAGAACCTAAACAACACGAATCATAACCCAATTAGCTCTTATAACCTTACTTGTAACTAGGGGGCCAGGGGGCCCCTACATGATAAAACCCTAAACCCTAAACCTTAAACCCTATAAACCCTATAAACCCTAAACCCTAAAGCAGCGAGCTTCCCGGCTCCTGCATGCGGGCAGCGGCTTGGCTCTGGCGCCGGGATGCCGCAGCGATGTCCGCCAACAGCTGCAGAAGCTCTTCCACGCCGAGCTTGCCTTGCTCTCTCGTTTAGGGTTTAGGGTTTAGGGTTTAGGGTTTAGGGTTTGGTGATGGCTTGATAAGCTCTAATTTCACATCCACGCCAATCAGCGAAAAGCCAGGCTTCGAGAACCGTAAGGCAATTGTTGAAGACACGGAGCAAAAAAATCCCGCTGCAGGGTTTTGCTTGACAACAGCCGAGTTGCTGCACTCGTTGAAGGATTGGACATGATTTGCCGATCCACTGATGCCTGCGGCCAAGGCAGCTATGGCATCTTCGCCGTAGGGGGGCCCTGAGGGGCTGTGCCGGTATGCATGGTCCAGGCTGCTGGACTGGTCTTGAGGCACAGGGCCTTCAGAACCGAGGGCGCGCTGCGCGACGAAGTCCTGCTGTGGCTCCAAGCATCGCAGGGCCATCACATCATGTGCCGGCCATGGCCTCTGGGAGTACCTCTCTGTAAAGCTGTTGCTGGGAGCCGGGGATGGTCCTGGCGATGGGTTCCTCAGCAGCCACTGCAGGCCCGACTCCCTGGCCGTCTCTGCCCCGGAGTCCGCTGGCTTCCATCTGCACACCTGCACGAAGGCGGCATCGGCTCCGGGTCGAGGCGGCGTCCAGTTCCGGGGCGCCTGTGTGAACACGGGCGGGTGCACGGGCGGGTGCACGCATGGGTGTACCCTGGTAACATCGGACTGGAGGCTGCCACTGCTGCTGCTGGTGCTGCCGACCACCGGACAGGGTGGACGAACGACCGGCGGAGCTGTGGCCGGAGATGCTGCTACTCGCAGGCACGGGGGCGTGTGCCAACCTGGGGCCGGGCTCATCATGGCATCGCTGGCTATCGCTGTCTGCTGGCCATCAACCTCCTTGAACCACGATTCACGCGAAGGGGCAAAGCCGATGTGGAGAAAGACCCGGGATGAGCCTTCAAAACCGCACAAGCCTCGAGCAAAGGCTAGCGTATCTGCCATAAGTCCATACGCCCTCAAAGTCTCAATTCCAAAGACACTCAGTCATGCACCAGGTTGGACAAGTCTCACATTTTCCTTGCTGCTGCTGCTGCATCCTCTTGATCGACAGCCTTACTGTTGTGATCCTCTGGACACCGAGAGCCGTGAGTACGGTGGTCGGATGTGAAGAAATCCGGTCCTCATCCATATGTGTGGAAGTCTACATGCGCAGCGTAGCAGTTGTTGCTGATTGCTCGCATTAGAGACGCATGCATCTAGGAATTGACCTCCAGGACGATCTACAGCTACAGCTAGGTCATCTAACCCGCAGTTTAAGTACTATTTCTTGAGACGGCAAACTTCCAGCCTTCCAGCATTCGGGCCCCAGGGCAAGCCATGAATTTTGGAATTCAGGTGTGGCTTTGTCTTCAGCACCGCTAGCCGGGGCATGGCCCCATGAACTATTCAAGTTTGCGGTTTAGGGTTCAGATTCTCATGAAGCGCTAGGGCGACCGAGCTATCAAGTTCCGGCAAAGAGGACCTGGATCTCGGACAGCTCCCTCCTCATCTTCTGTACAACGGAGATTAGGGATCTGTTGCGACTGGGGCCGGTGCCGCGAACCACGCGGACAATCCTTCATTAACTTGCTATGCCTGGCCCTTATACATAATCTCAACCAACCCCCATGTAGAGGATGTTCACAAGAGTTCTGCTATACGTCATGAGTTCCACCTCGGGGCATGCGGGCACGCGGTCGTACTGCACCATCGGTGCAAAGCCCCGGGATCGAAGCACAGCCATTCAGTCCACGTGCGCATCGCTCCGGCTCCTACGCGAGTCCGTCACATTGGTCAGCTCTTGGATGAAATCCTGGGCCAAGGGCTCTGGACAGAGGTGCTCTGGGTTGCTGGTGCGGGCAAATGGGAGCAGCTATGCCAAGTCTTGCAGACAAGGAGCTATGGATATACAACATAATATATATATATATACATACATATATATATAGCACATGATACAATACGCTTTCTGGTAGCCGCTGGCAGCAACAGGCACTTGGGACGCGGATTGTATATGGAGTTGCGCACAGGCTTTTCGGAGTCTGCTAACTCCCATCTCATCGCCCTAGAACTTTTTGCCCGTGGCATGAGCCCAATTCTGTGCTGAAATCTAGCCATGCGTCCCGTCGGTAGGGGACCTCGGATCACTTCTTGAAGACTTTGGGGGATCACACCTGAATTGGGGAAAGATACATGAGATGTCTGGTACCTCATAGGCAGTGTCCATGCAGAGCCTTACATACATGCTCAGTGCTGGACGCCCTCCATGTGCTGCTTGTAGCGGTAGGCCGCGAATCCGGTCAGGGCATAGAGCACTGCACCTTGCGCTATGTTGTACAGCGCAAGCACAGTCCAGGACCAGCTGCGGCCATGGAAGTCCCGAGATTATGCAGCAAGCCACTGGTAACGAAGCAAACTTGCAAATGGCTTGACAAAGGCAAAAAAACACATTTCAGACAAGGCCTACGAGAAGATGATAAGATCTGTGGTCCCATACAGGTAGAACCCCCACAAAATCTAGCTGGGATGTTCACGAACGGTCTAAAGTCTAAATGCTCTTGCTCCCGGATTTGGCAAGCACGAGTCTTGCACCCTCCAAGGGGCTCCTGTCTCCAAGCCTATCATTTCTTGCTGCTTTTGGTTTAGGCTTTAGGGTTTAGGGCACCGCTTGATTGAGGAAGATTGCCCAACCATAGGCGGATATTTTGAATTGGTAGATGCGAGGCCAGTACCCGGCATTTCCTTGCACCCCACACAAACTCCCACCATGGAAAGGCCCTTATAGGCCCTAAACCTTAAACACGTAAACGCTTCTAAACCCTAAATACGAAACCCTAAACCCATCTAAACCCTAGTTAAACCCTACCCAAGGCGCTTCCATAGCATCCCCAGGCCGCATCCTTCTTGACCTCCGCCTCAAGCTCGATCATCGGCGACCCCTGGATCCCGCAGAGGGTTTAGGGTTTAAGGTTTAGGGTTTTAAGGCTTATGGGGTTTCTAGGGTTGCATCAGTTCAAAAAGCAGGTAACTTTTTCAAACTCATGTGAAATAAGTCTGCCTTGGATTCGTTCTGTGATGTATGCATGGGGGTCCCGAAGAAGAGTAAGCTTATGTAACCAGCACAACTACGGATTCATGATCTTGATGGCATTGCTTATGCTGCTATTTCTTGCCCCGCCCCCCCGTCCTCCCACTCCACCCATGAATGAGGCCTTTGACCACGCATACTGACCACCATATTTAGAACCTCTTTCTTTATTTCTTAGTTCCTTGCTTTATGTCTTGCTTTCCTGCTCTCATTGGCTACCACATCGTTCTTTTCTCTGTCTCTCCACACAAATACAAGCAAAAGCGACGTCTTACGGGCGTAGGTTCCCTTGGTAGCCCAGTAGCCCAGTAACCAAAGGGTACCCTTTTCGGGGGTTGGCTACATGGGAAGGAGGGAACCTAGAAAGTACCACTGGGCTACCCAGTTCCATACAGGGTCCGCGCAGAGGTTCGGTTTAGGGTTTAGGGTTTAGGGTTTAGGGTTTAGGGTTTAGGGTTTAGGGTTTAGGGTTTAGGGTTTAGGGTTTAGGGTTTAGGGTCTAGGGTCTAGGGTTTAGGGTTTTGGGTTTAGGACCTGGCTGCACAGGACTCCGAAGAAGATCAGGAGGGGAACGGCCCAAGCTGACAAGACCTGAGCACTTGCAGTGTAAAACGTTCTTGAGATGGATGATGTTGTGGGTGTAATTGCTCTGCTTCGGGACATTCAGGGGTTCCACTTACACCCTTGGGTGTCAGCACTTACCGGGGGTTCAGGCTCAGGTATATTCATCATCTGAGGTTTTCCCAAACCTCCTGTGGGTATTTCCCAGAACAGGGTACCCCGTTTATACGCCAAATAGAGTAGAATCCCCTTAAAGGGACCCCCCCCCCCCCCTCGACCCCCATGTAAGGAATGACCCAAAGTAGAACAACGCTCTCGGGCTCCCTGCTCTCCAGTGGCTCATAGGAGGGAAGTAAGGGCTCCATTGAACCCCGATGTGTTGGCATGTTCCCACGCTATACTAGCAGTCCTTAATAGGGGTTCTAGTACTCCCTATGAAGAATCCCAATCAAGGACTGTCAGTTTAAGAGGGGGGAACATCCCGCCCTATGTTTCCTATAACTGGCCTGGTAGAGGATTTAGGGTTTAGGGAGCATTAGCTAGAGTCTAGGTCGCTTTATTCCTTGATCAAGGTGGTGTTGGAACCCTAAACCCTACACCCTGAACCCCAAAGCCCCAATGGGACACCATAAATCCTAAGCCCTAAATCCTAAACCCGAATCCTAAACCCTAAACCCTAAACGAAGACAGTCGCGCGATCTGCACGTCCAGGTCCCCCGACCATGCAGAATGTGGCCCCATACTGCTTCTCCATCTCCCGACCTGCTGACCAGAGTTGCTTTGTTCCCTCTCTCTCTCTCTAAACCCTAAACCCTGACCAGGGTTTGGGGTTTTGGGTTCCAGTGTTCAGAGAGCTCAGAGGGTCCGCAAGGCGTAGAGGCTTTGGTAAGGTTGATAGGGCTAAGCTGTTTTCTCTCTCCACCTATGGCTCAGAAGGGAATGCTGTGACGGCCCGGTGACGGTTCACGGTCTTAAGAATTCAAGGCATGGCTATCACAGCAGCTATTTCTTCACAATGGGATTTATACTATCTGCCATATGTTCGCCTGCCTACATGTGATGTTGTGTTGTAAGGCTTGTTTATGAACCATGGCTCATCATGAATTTGGTAAATGTAGTTTAGTTTAGGAGGAGGAGGAGGAGGAAGTCATACATGTTAACGATGAGTCCCCCCCCTCCTCAAGTGAGAATGCTGAGCAGCGGGTACTCAGCCCACATGGGGGTTTACGACAATAAGGGTACCTTAATGGGATGCTGTTCCTTGAACCTCAAGGGCAAGTACTATCTAAGAATAATTCTCAACGTGCCCCAGACCCAGACCCCTTAACCTATAGACGGAGAATATAATCCTTTCCCCCTAATACTACAACCCCCGCAAACAATTCTAGGACCCCTTTACACTGCGCAATTCTAGGACCCCTTTACACAGCGCAACGCTTACACAAAAACACGTCCCAAAACAGCCCAGTGCTTGGATACTTATTAACCAACTATAACTGTACTTAAAACCCACTTAGAAGCCCCTTAATTGCCCTAATATGGTTACAAGATGTTACAAGTACAGTTATAAGTACACTTATAATTGGTGAAGAAGTACCCTGAACCTCCGGGTATACACTTCGCCCCCAAGCTCAGGCCCACTCGAAAGCTCCGCGCGAGGAAGCCACCCCCCACACAGGGTCTGGGTCTGAGTGTCGATATGCCGATACTTGCAAATCCATATATAGGGTTGCTTGCTGATGAACCAAGGGCTATAGTTCATGAGATGTGTAGACGTTTCTGAACCTTCTGCCTAAGAAGGCGCCCAAGGGTTGTGGGTGGGATCGTGACTCTGATGGGGAGGGACTGATGCCATGCATGAGGCACACATGTAACATGCAGAAGCGCGCAAACAAGTTTCCAGCTTCTGGCTTGGGCAACACATTTGCAGTTCCGGGTTTGGGGATGTATATGAGTGTCACGAGATGCGTGCTGCATCTTCCATTGAGCTTCAACACACCTTCGCCTTCTGTCCACACAGGTTCATCGGTCTTTTTTCTCCGATGCTTTCTCTTATCTTTGCTCGGCTCTCATGAAGCCATCTTGGACCTGTCGTTGATGCTCCTTCAGAGGGTCATCTGCCAGAGTCCAAAGATGTTGATGAGGGCACCGCATAAAACGTAGGCATTAGGATAGACATATACATGTAACGTATTCTCTGTATATGCATCATGCAGTAGATCATGTACCTATGGTTATGGTGCATACTGTAATAAAAGATCAACTTAGTAGCGCAGTAACCACTGTAATATGATGGCATCCTGTGTTGGCTTGACGGCTACTTTATAGGCACAACAAAAACAGGATAAAACAGGGTACCACTGGGCTACCAAGTCAATACGGTTAATATAGGGGCCTTAATGATTTGAGTAGGGTTTGGGGGTGTGATTACAGTCTCATTATAAGGGACCATAAGGGAATTGTTATTCGCAAATATTCCGACCCCTATAATTATAGTAATCCAGGCGCTGCCAAGTGGCCCGGTGATTCGTCCTGGCTCCCCCAGTGCGAAAGATGGGAAGCGTGACCGCGGCCTTCTGCAAGGGTCTGGTTTAGGGTTTAGGGTTTAGGGTTTAGGGTTTAGGGTTTAGGGTTTACTTACTGTTGGTTAGTAGGGAATGAAGGAATGCGGCACCCTATATCATCCCTTGAAGGGTATATCTAGGGCGATCTAGGGTACCATAGTTCCCTCATTCCCTACTAAGCAACCGTATAATATGCTTCAGGTTGAAACTCACAGGTGTGAGGTGAAGGCCTGCCAGGAGGGAAAGCACGATATGCATGCAAAGCACCGGGCTTTCTTGACTTTGCTCTTTCTCAAAATGCTGTTCTCGCATGCACCCGCCTTTGTGGGTATGCTAGGCTCTCTCGACATATCTACAACCTGCAACTCCTCCATTTCGAGGAATGTAGTTGGCTTGACCGTTGCCGTCATGGACGCACGGGGTGCGCACGCACCATTTCTCCAACACTGATGGAAGTAGTTGGAAAACAAACCCTAAACCCTAAACCCTATGAACCCTAATCAGTGACATCAACGAGTCATTTGCCACCTCTCTGGCGCTGAATTAGCCGAAGGTTTCACCTTTGAAAACACCCTGCGGACATGATACTGGTAGTACTTGGAGGTTCATGATACTTATTATTATTATTGTTATTATTATTATTATTTTACTATTATTACTATTACTACTATTATTATTTATAATTATCCACTTATACCTGTACTTCTGACTGTACTTCTAACCATATTAGAGGCACTTAAGGGGCTTAGTACAATGGCAATTGGTTCATACGGACCATGAACCTCCAAGTATCTGGATCTACGGTAGGAGTCCCATGCTTCGGGATCCTTTGCAACGTGCTCTCAGAAGGGCCCTAAACCCTAAACCCTAAACCCTAAACCCTAAACCCTAAACCCTAAACCCTGAACCCTTCTACTCAAAATCAATCATGAGAGTGTAGAGGATGCCATAAGCGCAAAGGCAAACAGCAGCTAAGACCATGCCTTTCCTGTCTGGAAGAAGAGCCTCGGTCTGGCTGTTAGGGTTTAGGTTTTTTGTTGTTTTTTTAGGGTTTAGTAGGGTTTATTAGGGTTTTTTAGGGTTTATTAGGGTTTATTAGGGTTTATTAGGGTTTTGGGTTTAGGGTTTATTAGGGTTTAGGATTTAGGGTTTAGGGTTTAGGATTTAGGGTTTGGGGGGCCCTTCTTGAACCCAGACTCTGTACGTCAGCTGGCACGATGACAATTGCTTGGGAGCAAACCCTTTTTGAGCCGGGATCTTGGGGCCCTAAACCCTAAACCCAGAACCCTAAACCCTAAGTTTAGGGTTGGGGTTGGCCCCTGAAACACTCGGACAGATATTCGTAAACAAGATCCCCTTAAAAACCAAGAACTTAGATAAACTGTACAATGTTCCAAGAGCCCGCCTGGGAGCCTTTCCATTTGTAAGAAGCTCAACACGCAGCAGGTACAGACGCGTGGCGTAGACAATAATGAGGATGGAGAAGGACAAGGAAACAAGGTGCAAAGTCCTAGACACACGACGGCTTGAGACAATGACTGAACCCAAGGGGATGGTAGCAACACCGAACCATTTTAACGTGATGTTCTCCGTCTTGAGGATGGTCCGGGGGTCAATCCGGACAGACGGCTTCTTCTTCTGGTGAACCTCCTGAGTTGTCCAGGAACCTAGGGGAATTCAAGGTTCACCTTCGGGATGTTATAGGGATTAGAATACCCCCAAAAGCGTTAAAGGATACCCACTCTACTACTAAGCCTCCGTTTGGAGGGCCAGACTATCATGGAACCACTCCGGTACATAGGCGATCTCGTTGGGAAGCAGCGCTGCCACCGCAAAAAGATACTTCGAGATCTCCAGCTCCACCATGTTGTGTGCCTCAACGATTTTTTCCAGCCATGCTGGCATTGGTGGGTCATACTCACCTCCACCTTGGGGCGATAAATTGGAAGAAGGAGGATCACCTACCCCACACTACTGGCAATCTGATAGAGCATGTGCAGAAAAAAAACGCCCGACAGGGGTCAGGTTTTCTCTCCAAGGCACCTTGAACCTTGATTTCCACAATGGCCAAGGGATATTGTACCGCATCTTGGCTGGCGAAGTGCACATAGGGGCCAAGCTTCTTTTCGAATTGCCAGACACCCTTGCTCACGCCCTCAAGCACAGCTTCAAAATCCAGGTCGACCGTAATCCGGAGGGAGGCATCATCCGGCACTTGGAAGCACACTCTCCTGGAAGTGGTCCGTATCACCGGCGTTGCATGTAAAAGCCCGATCTTCTTTGCAAACTCCTCGAGGATGGGTGATCCTAGCAAGCCGCGGCCCTGCAGAAGGTCCATTAAGGAGCTCTTCTCAATCCGAGCACGCGTCTTTTTGGCAGGCTCTCGGGTGACCTTGTTCTTGCTCACCTTGGTTTCCGCGTAGAACGCGTCTGGGTCATCGACATCGTACCAGCGCAACCGCAAGAGGACTGCTCCATCTGGATCCTTTGAGGCCTTCTTGTGGTACAAAGGAAGATCCTCGCCATCGAGATAGATGCTGTGAGTAGCAGCCAGCACTTGTCCATCTTTCTTGAAGATGTGGAGTGGCAGATGCGGCAGGACCTCGCACATGAAGTCGACTGTGTCCTCTGACTTCATCACGAACTTGTAGCTGGTCCGCTCAAAGTTCTCGGCGTCCATGGCCGGCTTCATTGCGTATGGAGTGTGACGCGCGTCGGCACCAGCCAAACTGCGCAATTGTTCACAAACCTGCGAGCCGGTGAAGAACGGCAAAGCATTCAAGTGGCCACGAGACCATGTCTTGGCCAAGGAAAATTTTGTGGACTTGTCGTGCTGAGCCAGAAGCTCTAAGAGCTTGGCTCGGGATCGTCTGCTGAATCTCCACGCGCTCGATGCAGCCGCTTTGCCGCGTTCGTTCAGCATCTTCTGGTACTGAACATCAACAGTTTGGAGGCTGCTGTCCTTTAGTAGCCCAGTAACCATATTACAAGAAGGGTACCCTTCTTTGGTTGGTTACTTGAAAAAGGGAACCCAGAGCCACAAAAAAGGATAAAAGGGCACCACTGGGCTACCAAGTGTCGAGCTCTTCAAGGAAGTGTGCTTCGGCGACTTCACTGAAGGCTTGGCCTTTGTATTTCTCCAGAATCCAGAAGCAGCGGGTGAAGTCGCCAGAAACCTCACTCGGCAT